CAGACAAACCTACCCCAATTCCTTGGCTATTTTCTGTTGTTGTAGAGGATGCATCTGTGTAGATGAAAATGCTGTTATCTGAGTTGTTTTGGAGTAGACGAAGGTGAAGTTTTGTTTCCTCTTCTTTTGAAAGTTTGCTAATGTGGACCTTGTAAGGAGTTTCTCTTTCCCATGGAGGGAAGTGGAAGTGGTGTATTTGCTCAAGGTCTTCAAGGTTGTATAAGTTGCTAATAGAGCGGTGGATTCGCTGTAGTTGAGGAGTTGCCGGCTTCTTTTTCCTTGGAGTTGCTTGAGTATTGAGGAGCTTGTCGATAGCGTGGTTGACTGGGTGTGATGGTGAGAGTTTGAGTAGACGGAAAGCATACATCCTCAAGGAGGAGGAGATGCGAACTTCAGGAGGTGGGAGGGCGCTTTCTACTTCCATTGGGAGGATAGGAGTGGTTTTGAAAACCCCTAATATCTTTCTAATTGCAAGGTTTTGGAGTTTTTGAAGTAGAGTAGTGAATTGTGCTTGGCCTCGCCACCAGATGGTTGACCCATAGTCTGCGATACTTGTAACGCATGCTGTGTACAGCTGCCGGAGGGCAAAGGGTGTAAGTCCTTTGGAGTTGTTTGCTAGCCTTGACATCCTGAAAAATGCGCCTCTAGCTTTTGCTACCTTGGCAGCGACGTGGTGCTTAAAAGATAGTGCTGGGTCAAAGTAGATGCCTAACTACTAAATGCATTGTTTTGGGTGAACGGTTTGGTGGTTGGGGAGGTTGAGTGTGAATTTTTCTGTGTCCTTTGAATTGGTCCAGTGTATGAGTTCTGTTTTATCGAGGTCGAAGGCAATGCTGTTCTCATTTGCTAGCCTGTAGAGTTTCGTGGCTTCTGCTTTTAGTCTTTTAATGTTGTTTTTGAGGTGGCGGGAGGCTGTTGTAAGGGAAATATCGTCGACGTAGGAGATCCATGTAATTGTAGTAGACTTGAAAAGGTCGCGAATGTAGATGAGAAACAGGATTGGAGATACAGGGCTGCCTTGTGGTACCCTAGAGTTGTTAGGTGAGAACTCCTGCATTTGATCGTCAAAAGCGAGTCGTAGCCTACGTTGGTTGAGGAATGTTGATACCCATGCTATTAGGTTGGTGGGGAGTTGTAGTTCTTGGAGAATC